AGTAGTTTGTAGGTAATTCCCGCAGCCTTTTGTATCGCCGTTCTTTGTGAAACAATAGCGTCTTCCCTTTGAATTTCAGTCCAAAGATCTTCAGTTGCCTTTTTTACCTAAACTAGCACATTCGTGACTGATCAAGCCCACGCGTTATATTTCTTACACGATCAACAAGGTTGATTCGATTCTCTTCAATGGCACATAGAACTTGATTCATCAGGCGCTCCTAGAACAAAGTAAGCCTCAAATTGAAAAAGGTCTGAACAAAAACGCAACAACCTTGAGGACATTTTTTTCTTCTTGTTCCTTCAACTTAAGATTTTGAGTTAACAAAATACTTCGCGAGTTCTCAGCTCGTCCACGACCTTAAATTTACAACTATGAGTACCATCTCTGACGCTAATAATGGAGATACCCCCACTTCAAGCCTTACTTACCTCTGCGTTGGACATGTGCAATCTCGTTACTGACGTAATTGTACTTAATCACAAGGTTACACTCTGCGACATCAAGACCTTCGTCTGCAACTGATGTTGCTACAAGGATGCGCGTTTCTCCGCTTTTGAACCTGAGAAGCTTCGCAAGGGAGTAACTCTAAAACTTTGCAAAGGCAAAATGTCACCTCCTCAATTTCTCTTTTTGTTCACGTTTCGTCGTGATTTCACAAGATCCTCTGTTCAGTCCTAAAAGATTAATGGCTGCAGTGATCCATTCACAGTCCATGAGATGAAATGGAGGAAGGCGTTAAAAGTTATTTCAAAAGATATATGATAGCATATAAATGCGGATATACATCCACATTTCTTGTGTGAAGCATAGGACTGCTGGTGTCTCTTCAAGTATGTCAACCTGTCAACGCCATAGTAAACTCGTTATATAAATAATCGTTGAAAAGATTAATGGCTGCAGTGATCCATTCACAGTCCATATCACATGGAAATTGTCGGCGTCCCAAAGAGGGTGGCAATGGAGAAAAAGGTACTTTGTCAAATTGGGACGCAGATTGATAATTCAGTGAGTTTTCCGCATCATCAGTTTTGTATATATAAAACTGTTCAAAATTTCAATTTTGATCTAAATCGTAGGTTAGATACATAGAACCGTAGCTCTGGTCATTTTCCTGATAAGCGAAGAAAGGGTAGAATCTTCACCTAGGAAAATCTGAAAACTTAGTGTCCAAAGCGGAGACAACACTGACTTTTCTGCACACTAGAAGTTTGATTGAGAAGATGGAAAAGAATAGCTTTTGCTTTATTGATAAGGCTTAATTCTTCCATGAAAAATGAAAAGGTGTAGGTCCGAAAGATATAAATTTTAAAAAAAAGGCCGCAAAGTATGAAGTGGAACTGAATTCGCCCTATAACTATTGCTTTCAAAGCAGTTGTTTGTCTAAAAACTTCGAAAGGCATGCATAGTCAAAATCAATAGCTAGAGTAATTTAGATTTGAACAGAAGCATGTCAGATACCTGGAAAATGAGTAGTGAAAATCAAGAGATGATAGAGTATAATTGGTACTTTGAAAATTAGAAAGTTGCGCAGTTGTCAGCTGAATTCTTCTTACAATTAAGCAGAATAAAATGGATGTTGGGGGTTTCGTTGAGTATGAGCCGAGATAAGCCACTAGCCAATGTCCCCTCGGCTCTGTCGTTCTCTCCCGCCCCTCAGAATCACACACTCTACGTAACCAAAAGTCTTCACAAAGCATGTGGCTCTCCTTTTCTCCGTTATTTGCAAATCAATTTAGGTAAATCGTATATCATCGCGAAAATTTTGAAACGTACATTTGAACAGACGTTGAACAGACGCAAACATTCATTTTTTTGGTTCAAGTGAATGAAAAAAGAAACCATGGTTTCTGTTTTACTCCTACGTCAAATTGAAGTATTTAAGCCCGTTTTTTCACCAATTTGAGATGCGTTTAAAACATAGACAACTAACAACTTTGAGAAATCATGGTTTCACGGAAAAAAGGAGACATGCCAAAATAACTTTTCTTCCAAAGTCGTTTATACCTGAGTACAAAAGAACTGATTCTACTTTTAATCTCATTCTCAGTGCTCAATTCCAACGTTTTTCATTACCATGTCTTCCACATGACTAGTCTAGCTATCCAATCTCTTTTCCCTCCTTTTCCCTGCCTTCCACTTTTGGTCTCAAAGAGAAAAATATGTGTGATTAATGCGCAAAGATTCAAAAATTAAATGAGCTTTCTAGGATTTGAGGATCGCCTCCGAACTGAATCATGCACAGTTCTCACAAATTCACTTTCATAAAGACGCCTCTTTTTGTAGGAAGTACCAAAGAAGAGAAACAAAATGAATGAAGAATGGAAGGGTATGGCATTTTGCTATATTTTTCCTTAATTACTTTTGAAAAAAAATTTCCACCCACTGCTGTTTTAAACCAAAAAATTGTTTCCTCTTGTCAGCTACCATAGTATGTCAAAAACCACCATCAATTTTGTTGCCTTGACTCTGAAGTATCGAGCTTATGCTTAAAACAGCAATGCGAAAACTCATTTTTGATAATGAATGATTGCAACAAAAATGACTCGCGATGTTGTTAATATAAGTGCTGACTTGACGGCGGACTTTCAAACCTTTCCGAAGGTGAACTTGCATAACTAGTATAGTATCGAACCTATGCTTAAAACGCTTCGCAAATATGAAAAGTAGATTTGAGATCGACTGTTTTGATCTACATTTACCAATATCTCTTTTTTCAATGCGCTACTCTGAATATCTTTTCCTCGTAAACTCCTCGATAAAATTCCTGACAACCACTTACTTCTAAGTGCACGCTTATTAATTGTAAAAAAAGCAAAAAGGATATGGGTTGACATACCTCCCAAAAGGAAATCTAGCGCCACACTTTATGCTGTAACCAATTTCGACTATAAATTTTGGAACGACTAACCTGCTATAGATTCAATACGATGGACGCAAGAGAGCAAATCTAGATGGGAGTTCAATAGTTCTGCTAGAAGAGAGGCACCCTTGCGAGTTCGCACGAAGATGATAGCTCGAAAATCCAAATCTCTATTAGCAAGTAACTGTCTGAAAAGCAATTGCAGTAAAAAGAAGCTGAAAAAGCTTTATCATCAGGTTTCTAACATTCATTAATACGAAGCGCGCTGGATTTTCGATATAGCATACTGAAATATTGCAATAACAATGAGACCCAAGATCTCAAATAGAATTTTACTTAGATGTAGTGGGCAAAATCAAGGACTTTTAATTTGTATATGATATTCGATCCTCTAATCATCTAAATCCAGACGAAAATTTCTTCGTAGTAAGCGAGAAAATCGTTTCGGACGTTAAGGCCAGCTCGTCCATTTTAATCACTCTCACTTAGCGATTTACCTGTAGCGATAAACTTACACGATCGTTTCGGACCAACTACCCATTACCATTTATAGTGCCACTACAACACGTCCCCGTCAATCCAAGAAGAGCCCTGTATCTCATTTTGAAAAGATTCTCACGGTAATTGAAGTTCATATGTTTCCACAGCGAAATATCCAGAAAAACTATCGTAGTGAAAGCCACCGAGACACACCTTTAACTATGAAAAGTATCACAATCACACTGACTTCACCCGCCGCTTCAAAATAAGGCGAGTACAAAATCTAGTGAATCAAGGACGTGTCGACTGCCCGGAAAAACTTAGATACCCGTGACATTCGGTGCCGCTGGCGCAGTGCCTGCAAGGCACATTCTTACGGTAGTGGGCTTGTTATCTCGCAGTTGTCCTACGGATAACTCGCCACGCCTGGCTCCGTCCATTAGCGGATCATTCGTGGTGAACTGCCAAAGAACACTAGAATTTGGGATATACCTTGCCAAGCCCCACCCTCAATCAGTGCAACTTTGAAACCTTGTCAAAACTGCTAAAAATTGTCCAAATAAGTCAAAGTCAGTGCCAAATGACAGGAATAATCTCTAAGATGATTAAATAAAGCACTGAGCAATGAATACATATGTAATTTTTAATTCAAATTATTTTCTGCAAAATAATTTC